TCAGTCACCCTGACATCTGCTGGGAGGGCAATACAGCAGTGCACAGACAATTCAGAAAGTTTTTGGAGAGCATTGGGTACAACTTCCTGGTGCAAGGGCTGGAGCGGCCAACTAGAGGCCAGGTTCTTCTTGACCTGCTGCGCACAAACAGAATTGAAGTGGTGGGGAATGTAGTAGTGGATGCAACTTTGGCAGCAGTGGCCACAAGATGATTGAGTTCAGGATTCTGAAGAAAGGAAGGAAGGAGAGCAGCAGAGTAAGGACCCTGGACTTCAGAAAAGCAGACTTCAACTTGCTCAGGGAGCTCATGGGCAGGATCCCCTGGAAAGCAGGGAGAGAGGAGTCCAGGAGAGCTGGCTGTGCTTTAGAGAATTCTTACTGAGAGCGCAGGAACAAGACTAGCAAGTATGGCAGCAGACCAACTTGGCTTAGCAGCGAACTCTCCAGTAAGCTAAATCGGGGTTCTCAACTTTTTTATGCTGAGGACTGGCAAACCATGAACCAGAAGTGACCATGGACCGCCAAGCCGCAGACCGGAAAACTGCAGACCAGCAGGGACTGACATACTGCGGGCAGGCACCCAACCCTTTTTTATGGCTGCCGGTCTACAGTATGCTGGTCACTTCCAGTCCGTGGTTTGCTGGTCCACAGTTTGCCGGTCCATGGTCACTCTCGGTCTGGTAGCCAGCCCTCCTGCGGACTGGCAGCCAACCCCTCGTGGTCTGGGGTTGGGAACCCCTGAACTAAATCACAAGAAGGAAGCTTATAAGAAGTGGAAACTTGGACAAATAACTAGGTAAGAATGTAAGAGGATTGCTTGGGTGTGTAGGGATAAAGTCAGGAAGGCCAAAGCGAAATTGGAGTTGCAGATATCAAGGGTGACAAGAAGGGTTTCTACAAGTATGTTGGTAGCAAAAGGAGAATCAGGGAAAGTTTGGGTCCTGTACTGAATGGGGGAGGCAACCTTGTGACAGAGGATGCATAAAAGGCTGAAGTGCTCAATGCCTTCTTCACCTCAGTTTTCGCAGGCAAGATCAAGCTCCTAGACTACTGCACCAGACAGCACAATTTGGGGAGGAGGTGAGCAGCCACCAATAGTGAAAGAACAGGTTAGGGACTATTTAGAAAAGCTGGACGTACACATGTCCATGGGGCTGGATGGGATGCATCTGAGGATGCTGAGGGAGTTGGCTGATGTGATTGCAGAGCCATTGGCCATCATCTTTGAAAACTCATGGTGATTGAGAGAGATCCCAGATGATTAGAGAAAGGCAAACATGGTGCCTATATTTAAGAAAGGGAAAAAGGAGGATCTGGAGAACTACAGACCAGTCAGCCTCCCTCAGTCCCTGGAAAAATCATGAAGCAAGGGATCCATTTCTAAGCACTTGGAGGAGAAAGTGATTAGGAACAGTCAGCATGGATTCACCAAGGCCATTCAACCTGATTGCCTTCTGTGATGGGATGACTGGCTCTGTGGACAATAGGAGACCAGTGGATGTGGCCAACAATGATTTTAGCAAGGCTTTTGATACAGTCTCCCACAGCATTCTCGCAGGCAAGCTAAGGAACTATGGGCTGGATGAATGGACTGAAAGGTGGATAGAAAACTGGCTGGAGCATCGGGCTCAGAGAGTAGTAATTAATGGCTCAATATCTAGTTGGCAGCTGGTATCAAGTGGAGTGCCCCAGGGGTTGGTCCTGGGGCCGCTTTTGTTGAATGTCTGAATCAATGACCTGGAAGATGGAATAGGGTGCACCCTCACCAGGTTTGCAGATAACACCAAGCTGGAGGGAGTAGTCGAGACGCTGGAGGGTAGGGATAGGATTCAGAATGACCTAGACAAATTGGAGGATTGGGCCAAAACAAATGTCATGATGTTCAACAAGGGCGAGTGCAAAATCCTGTTCTGAGGACAGAACAATCCCATGTGCCTGTACAGGCGGGGGGCTGACTGGCTAGGCAGCAGCTCTACGGAGAAGGACCTGGGGGTTATAGTGGACAGTCTTGCCTTGAGCAGGGGGTTGGACTAGATGACCTTCCAGCCCTAATTTTCTATGATTCTGTCAGCCTTGTCCGAGAGATGGCTTCTGAGGTATGGGAAATATTCAACCTTCTTCAGTCTCATTGTGAATCTGAATGACTGAAGCTCAGGATTGCTCATTAAGAGCTTATTGATGGAGGACTTTCGTCTTCTGAATGTTAAGCATCAGTCCCATTTTCTTGTATGCCTTGGTAAAGATGTCGACGATTGCCTGAAGGTCTGCTTCCAAATGAGCACAGACTAGAGCATCGTCAGTGTACTGGAGCTCAATGATGGAGGTCGGGGTGGTCTTGGTTTTAGTCCGGATTTGGCTGAGATGAAACAGCTTACCATCCATTCGGTCATTTAGATCCCCTCCAATTGGAAGCTTGTTGATGGTTAGATGTAGCATCATGGTAAGGAATGTCGAGAAGAGTGTTGGAGCGGTGATGCAGCCTTGCTTAACTCCCATCTTAATGTCAAAGGGATTTGTGATAGATCTGTTATTGACAACCATCACTTGCATGTCATCATGGAGCAGGCAAAAAATGGTGATGTATTTCGGTGGGCATCCATACTTCAGAAGTATACTCTATAGTGCTTTTCGGTTGATAGAGTTGAAGGCTTTTGTGAGGTCAAAAAAGGCCGAGTAGAGGTTTATGAGGTTTATGTTATTCCTGGCATTTATCCCACAGCTGGCAAGCAATGAAGATCATGTCAATTGTGCCTTTTGAAGTCCTAAACTCGCCACACTGAGATTCCAAGAACTTGTCATACAATTTCCTATTCAGATCCATTTATGCTGAAATTTAATGTTATATAAAAATTATCTTTTTTTATGTCAATGATAGTGCTCTCTGTGTTGTCAGATTTAGTTAATCTCTTTCTCTCAGTTCCAACAAAATGCCTGGGAACTTCAGATTTGTGTAAAGGAGTCAGCTGCTTGCTTGTTTGAGTCTGTTGAAAATCCCACCCTTCCAGAATTTCTTCTGTAGATGCCCCGTAGTATTGGGATTTGTGTGGCCTGGGTGCTCCTGGCTTGGAACCGTCTAAGAAAGTGATGATCCTTGATTGTGCACCCAGTTTCATATGTAGTAGACAAGGAGGTGTGGCTATAGACATTTTATTCCTAGACAGTTTATAGCCTACTTGAAAACAGCAAATTGTTGTCTTCCATTTCTTACTGCTTATGTTTCATTTGGTCCATTTAAAATTATACTCTTTTGTTGTTTAGGAGTCTATTAGGTTTATAATAAATTAGGGTTAAGTTGAGATTTTTAAAAAATTGGTTTTGCCATCAAGTTTAGCCATTTGTTGGTCATATACCTAACAGGGCTGACACTAGTGTAAAAAATGCATTTTGTAAGTTGTATTTTTGTTCTTAATTGTCCATAATGCCCCTTCATTTTGTGTGCTGAAATACAGTGAAGGGCACTTGCTTGGTGACTGCTTGGCTTGTACGACCTTTGCTCTTTGGGTATATCAGGTCCAAGAATGTAGGGTTAAACTCCTACTGTTACAGGAATTGTCTCTTGCAGACTCAGCCTGTCAAATCTGACCTTTCAAGCTCAAAGACATCCCTGCTGAGATCTGCTATATCAGATTCTAAGTCTGTTAAGCCTTCCAAAAACAGAGCTAAATCCATTGGTGCCAAGATTTCTTCAATGACAAAGACAGTCAAGTAAAACCTCGATTGGGTCAAGTTTTACTTGGTAGGAAGACACCAAGCCCTTCGCCCCCTCACATGCAGAAATGAAAGGAAGCAGGGTAATTGTCCTTGTTCTACGTGTTTGGTTTAAAGAAGTGCAAGATGCATAGCACACCAGGTGCAAAATAAAGGAGCCTTTTATGGTTAAGGCCAAGGATGAACATGTTTTGTGACTGTTATTGACTCTAGTCTTGACTGTGTGCTTGGAGCCACTGATCTCATTGGATCTGCAGGGAGGTGGAGATGACCTTCTCCCCTTTGCCAGTTTAGAATAGTTGTATCCTGCCTTGACAAGGAAACCCTAGAACCAGGGGCTTTTGTCTTCAAAATCCTTCAAGGTGCCCTCTCCATTTGAGGGGCCAGGTGATGTAGTCTAAGGAGAGTCTCTGTCTCAAGGGTCTCATGTAAGGCTGTGGTAATTTTCCCACCAGAGGACAGGGCTTCCTAGATTTAATGCTTCAGGAGTTATTTAGGTTATTCTTTTTCCATCCTGATCCCCTCCTAACTGATTTTTTTTTAAGCATTGTTCATACGGTGATGTTCTTATCCCAGTTTAGACCACAGACATGGGTGTTTTGATCTCTTTCAATAACTATTTGTCTATCAAGTTTCCTTATATTTCCCAGCTGTGATGAATTGATATGTCCAACATTTAAGAAACAGATGGGAATTGGATCTTTTGTGGGATGAGATTCCTTCCCAGTAAGGAGAAGAAACCTTCTATTATGTCGATGCTAAGGAGAAGGTCTCTTTCCAATACAATGCCATTCCGATCCCGGCACTGTTGCATGCCGCTCCTAATCACTGAATGAATTGGCAACCTTTCCTGACATATTTGTGCCAGAATTACCTCTGAAGCTCTTAACTTTCCCATATGTGTACCCTTACTTCTTGGGGTGTTCAATGACATCTGAAGGAGTGGAGAGGAGCTATTATGATTACAGGCCAGTCTACATGCCCACTCAGTCAGATCTGCATATGCCTGTCAGTCATCCATCCAGGGATTACAGATGTTTTGAGCATCAAAATCTTCTGTGCTGATGAGGTATTCACCTCAATAGTGTGGATCTGGAGATGCAAAGAATTTGGGCTCTAGTTGTTGACAAGCTACTTTTGTTTGTGATTTTTGCCTTTTTTCCTGGTGAGGTGTCTACATGATGAGGTGGAGCCTCCAATTCCAAAAATAGAACATTTTATTACACTTAGTACATTCAACTGTCTTATTCTTTTTTTTTTTTTAATGCCATCCTATCTTTCTGATTATTCAGGCCCCTTCACATCCTGATCTGCAATGCTGCTGTTTTTGCTCTCCCATGGTCCTTGACAGAGGATGACTTGGAGTCCACCTTTCAGGTGAATTACTTGGGGAATTTTTACCTTGTCCAGCTCCTTGAAGATGTTCTGCGTCGCTCATCTCCTGCAAGAGTTGTGATGGTTTCATCAGAATCACACAGGTTGGTACAAGTCGCACAGTATGGTTTATTATTTAGCTCCCTTTCTGAAATCGGACATCAGTAGGGTGGAAATACAAACCTTTTAATACACAAAAGGCTCAGCCTTACAGCACTGGCTCATGCCTGAGAAATCTTACTGAAAGGATTGCTCTTATTTATGAATGCTGGAGGATCTGGCTATAACATACAAGTTTCATAATATTGGGTAGTATTTTTTTGGCCACTCTTTGTATGAATGCAGATTTTTCACTGCACTTCAGGCCACTGATTGATTTTGCTAGGAGATGGAATAATAATTGATTAAATCAGAATGGCATGACCTTTATTGATTTGTCATTCAACAACTTCAACATCTTACCAAGAAGAATGTGTGGTTATTCTAACAGGAGAAACAATGCAATTAAAGACTGCTAGATGAAATCCAATTGTTTTATAATGAGAAGTTAGGGAATTCAATGCAGACATTAGGTATATAATTGTAGGAAGGGAAGTACTGTAGTTATAGAGATCTGGCCATGCCTCTTTTGTTTAAAATTTCAATTAAAATATCAGACAACACTTTTTCCTATCACCATTTGGAGTTTAGTTGGCCAAAAGCACAACGCATGATTTTATATTGCTCTGGCTATTTCTGCAGCTTACTTTGGAGCTGTGTTAAAAACAGAACAGAAAGAAATGAGGGTTTTGGTTTTTAGTTATTACCCAGAATAAGATGTAGGGCCCAGTGCTTTCTGACCCCACGCATCTTTCTGATTTCAACCTTAGTTCTGAATGTGTAGAGATTGCAGGATTAGGCCAGTGTTAGTAACATTACTGTTGATTTTGATTTCACTTGTCTGGTGCTGCCTATAACAGCTTTAGCAAAGCAAAAGAAAAAAATGTGCAAGTACTTTTTTTTTTTTGATTTCTGAAATGTTTTAGTGACCCAGAATGAAGCTTATTTTTTTTAATCATGTTTCCATAAAATGTAACCCTTGGGACCTGGTAGAGAGAGACCAGCCAAGGGTCAGGCTGAAACCTTTATCACTTCCAAACACAGGGGCTTATGGTATAAATGACACACTGCAGATAGATTTACTTTTACCATTTTAAATTTATGATGGCTGAAATGAAAGGAAGCAATAGAAAACGCCAGTAATAATCCTCCCCAGTGTTAAAAGACATGAGACATCTAGTAATTAGGTGGTAACAAAATCTGGACATCCTTATCTTTGCAAATCACACCAGGTTTGTTAAAGCAAGTAGCAGAGTTCTGGTAGGAGTGAGGAAGGCTACTGTGGGGCAGGCAGGATAGCTCTAGAAATAAATCTGCCAACTCCAATCACTCGCCAGATGTGGAGGGCACAATGGGATATGTATAAATGAGCTGTTATTTAATGGGCGATTATGTTGAATTGTCAGCTGCTTGTTTCCCTTTGTAAGTTTGTATCTCAAACAGTATTTTAAATGACATCTTTGTTTTTTTCCCCCCCTTAAGAGCTGTGCATAACTGGAGCTTATATCTTTGCATGTCTTTATCTTTCTTTTGAAAAAACAGATTTTTTTTTAAGTGCTCATTGCTAACTCAGTAAGATCCACAGAGGTTTATGGAAGCCCATCAAAAATTGAGTAACAGTGAATGACTGAATATAAGAACTAATGCAATCTATTGCTTTTCCGTTTTTAGGAGTTTATTTCTTGTCCCTTAAATCATATTTGAACATTTAAAATGGCCATTTAAATGGCTTCTTTTTCTAGCAGTTCAATAGCAATAAACTTCGGCAGAGAGCTAGTTTAGACAGTAGATCTTATTATGTGGTAGTACTTTTCGACCTACTAGAGAACTCAGAGCCTTAAACCACGTTGTAAAACAGAAGTGTTGGTATCTAATTACTTCCATAAACCTTGGCTGAATCTTTTCACTGGAGTCAAGCCCCCTGTTAGGGGAAAAATAAAGTCCTTTTGTAGAAAATATTATATTCACCTGCTCCAAGGCAACATATTTATTTGCCTCCCTGGTTCTTCCTCTGTATTGGTTAGTTAACTGGATTCAATGCAAATGAATTTGGTTAAAATTAAGTGTATGGGTAATTTAAGTGCACCATATTAAAATGTGAATAGTAAATAGGTTGAATTTGCTCTTGTCTTAATTTCTGTGCAATTAACTTGATAGTACATGGAAGCCAGTGAGAGCTGCCAACATGAGTAAGACTGGTTCACTTAAGTAGGGGTGGTATTGGGTTCACAATATGCCACTGCACACAGCCTACTTAAAAATTGTATTTCTGTTGTAGACAGTGTCTTATGATCTGATTTGGCTACAGTCATTTGTGTTTATTCCTGGGGTAGTCTTGAAAGAGGCATTTTATTTATGAGACCAAGCCAGGTCCTGATTCTTCAAGGCCCTAATCACCCTGGAGCCCTTTTAGCTGTGTGCATTGCTATTTTTGCCCCTGACTGAAGTGACTAGCTAATCAAGCTATTGGGGCAGGAGATTCTACAATTAAAGCAACCTGTTTTGCACTACAGTTTTGTTTAGGGGTTTTTTTTCCCTGCTCCCCAGCTTATGCTAAAAGCTCTAAACATTAAAAGAAAGTTTGTTAAATCTTTTTTTGGTTTTAGTGGATCTCCTGTTTTGTAACAGAGTGATTTGATTTATTTCTCAGCACTAATGTGTACTGTTAATTTAATAAGCCAAAATTGTAAGAATGCTAAGATGACTATCTAGAAAATTCCTTTTCTTCATGTAAATGCCTTGAATACATTCACTACTTTGTTATTAAAAAAAGAAAAGAAAGAAAGAAACAAACAGCTGGTGTTTAATGACTCTGTCAGACCCAATTAAAAAACATCAACTAGTTACTTTGATTTGTGTTCAGCCATGCCATGGGTGTACTTAAAAACATTATACTCTGCCAGAACTCATTTTGGCTTTGTTTACATTTATCTTTTAAACATATAAGACTATTGATGGCAAGTTACCAAGGTTATAACCCCTTTATATTCATCAATTTTTAATCTAAAAAAGAGTCTAAGAGGCAGCAAGACTCATCCATAGTTACTTGAACACTTACATGAAAATATGCAATGCTTGAGTATTTGGTAAAAATAATTGTGGGAGATGGGTGGAGGAAGATGGCTAAGAATACACATTACACTGTTTCTAAAAACAGAAATCCTTCATTCTGAATTATTTAAATGCAAGTTAATTGTGTTTGTGTGAGTTTTCAAAACAAAACAAACTTAAAAATAACTGTCTTTGTTGCCATGTGTAAAACCAAAAAAATGCAGTTCATAGTTTTAAAATGATCAGAAAAACCTGTGTTTATGTCTACTTTTGTTGTGTTAAATCTATCCTATTGTTTCCTTTTTTTTCCCTTCATTTTTTGTGTACCTTAAGCACTGTCCGTTGCATTTAAAGGAACTGCAAAGTAGGATTTTACTTTGTGTAGATCAGGCGCTAAATTTTGCTCCCATGTGGAGCAGCACAACCTGAAGTGAGTTGAGCGGAGTTGCACAGTTTTAAATGAGATCGGAGTTTGCTCCATAGTGTCTAAGGCATGTTTACTGTTTTTTAGATTTACAGACATAAAAGACTCCTCGGGAAAACTTGACTTTAGTCTGCTTTCTCCATCTAAGAAAGAGTACTGGGCTATGCTGGCGTACAACCGTTCCAAGCTTTGCAATATACTCTTCTCCAATGAGCTAAACCGACGCCTTTCTCCCCATGGGGTGACATCTAATGCAGTGCATCCTGGAAATATGATGTACTCGTCTCTCCATCGCAACTGGTGGGTGTATACCCTGCTGTTTACCTTGGCTCGGCCTTTCACCAAATCCATGGTAAGCGACTGATCTGCAGCATTTTACACATCCTCAGTTTTCAGGTCCTGGGAGTGAAGCTACAAAACCCCCAGATGTACATATTTGCTTTAACCTTTTGCCCCTCATGACTACAACTGTATTTTTAATGACCATCGCACTGTCAGGCCCTTGAGCACTCTAAGCAAGGCTCCTAAAGCCATTTCAGATTAGCCTTGTCTGTCTAATGTAAACACGCTGTGTTGGAATGCAGGGTTTTTATGTGCTCTGGTAAAGGGAATTGCATCTGGTAGGGCTTGGGGTTGATGTTGTGATTTGGTTTATGTTTAAAGCATTTAACAAGTTGTTTTGAAATTTTTAATTGTTTTTGCTCCATCATTTTTTATCTAAATAGAGAGGTAGGTAAATGCCTCAGATAGAGAACCATGCTAATGGGATTATTGATGACTGAGGAAGATGCTTTCAAGATGCTTCTGCAGGTTTATAACTTGGTGACTATTTGCTCTCTTTCCATTATTTGTAAGTCCAAAGATAATTACTTCCTTAAGTGGGGGTTTTTTTAACTTTGTTTGTTCTGTTCTTTTGTTTATGATCTTTTGAGGGATTTCAAGCGGTCATTTTTAAATAGCTAAGCTTGAAAGCAAAATACTGATGCTTAAAAATGTTTCAAATGCTGCTTTTTTGCTTTGGGAGAAAAACCAAACAAGCTTGAATTTCACATGGGAAGCATTGCTCAGTGAAGGGGAGCTGCATGGATGTGTTGGAAGGGTCTTGTTGATGACACATCTATAAATGCCTGACAACTGTGTTCTACAAATGGCAGTGCAACATGAATTCATCTGTCTGATGCTCTAGATACTCAAAACCATAATATTTTATAGCTCTTTCAGGAGCAGCGTGTCTCAAACATCATCAGATCATAATTTAAAAGGACAGCTGTGCCATTTGCAAACAATAGTATTCAAATAGGATAATAACTGGTGAGAAATCCAGTTGTAGCCCTGCCAGGATTATGAGTTAGCCAACAGTACCCCATGGCTTCAGTGGATTCTAAATAAGGCATTAAAATGTGTCACCCTACTGCCCAGTTTCTTATCATGTGCCATTTCCAGAAAGTAATGTTGTCTTTCCACCGAACACCAGATTGGGCCCATTATGCAAAGAAGATTGACCTAGTCCTTTTGTAACTACTACTAGCATCCTTCATTATCTAAGACTTTGCACTACTGACAAGTAGGGGGGTGTTACCCCTATCTTCTTCTAACCCCTGACCTAATTTATTTATAAACTGTCCGCATTGGTTTGCTGGACTCAGGATGACTTTTACTTTGCTGAGAACTGGTTGCCTTTTAACCTTATTGACTGTTTCTCGTCACATATGCACTGAGAGAGACTGACATTCCCAAAGGAAAAATATGCCGCTCCATTTTCTGCGACTACGCATCAGGGATGTGGAGAAAGGGAATCCAGACCTATGCAGAGCCAATCCTACTTTGGCGGTTGGTTCAGTCCATCTCACCATGGACTTGGTGATTGATGCCAGCGGTAGTGGGGTTACACAACTCATTGTCACTTTGAGCGAGCGATCTGGACAAAATTAATTGTTTTCATTTGAGACGGAGCAGGGAAGGAATTGATGGGAGTGGAGTATCCATCTCCGAGTAGCTCAGTCAATAACAAGACCCCCAGTAGCTGGTCAGATTAATGTCTAAAGTGTGCAGTTAGCTACAGGAAAGGGGCCTGATATATATTCACTTAAACTAGTTTCACACTGGTGTATTTAAAAAAAAAACAAAAAACGGACTTAATTTTAATTTACATCAATACAAGAAAGTGGCTCAGGCCTCAGGTGTTCAAAAGTCTGAAAGTGGCCCAAAGGCCAAAGCTCTAGTCTCATCCAACAAAAGGGACAGATTTTCAGTGATGCCTTATTCGAACCTCCACCTATGAGAGAGAAGTTGGACATGCCCTTTGCTCTCACGGTTTGGTGCATTAGCAATGACATGGGAAGTCTGAATAATCTTAACACCTCTGTAGGTTGCAGAATTCATATGTACAAAAGACATGTGCCAGTTGGGTCAGTACGTGAACTGTTGAGGTGGTTGAGCTTTGGTACGTGACCTGAGCAGCTGTTGAGGCATCCTTCAGTCATGCATGCGGTGGTCAGTACAATCAGTGTGTGCCCTATGAAGGCCAGAGTTTGTAGGACAGACTATGAGCTTCTCTTTGGGTAGGATAAAATGCTCTCCTTATCTGAACTGATAGGAATGTGGTAGGTCTGTCAGTGAGTGATGCTATTTTTGAAGTAAAACTGATACAGTTTGTGGTACCTGTACTAAATATGTCAGATTACTTACTTGGATGCAAATGAGACTTTTGTATCTGTTTAATTTTATAGTTCAGATAAGCTCACCTTCCTTTATTTGAATGCATTAATTAGGGATTTTTTAATAAATTTTTCTTTTGCTGTATTCAGTAGCCTTCTAATGATGGTGCTTATTTGTTTCTGGTGTTCGTGCAAAAGAGGATCAGTGATTCTTAAAGCAACAGGAATTACTGTACTCAGTTCTATATGAGGGTTGGCTTTGAGTGAGTGTTGACAATTAAGGTGATATGCACGGGTGAATGTGTAGTATATAATGTGACAAATATTGCCCTTATCCTCCCAAGTGCCTCTACCGCACGAGTAAGTTGGGCTAAAAGCTGAGAGAACTTGCTAGAAACAGGCATCCCTTCTCGAGCGTGCAGGCCTCCTATGCCCTATCCTCAATACTTTCCTAGTAAATTGCTTTAGAGATCAGATGAGCTTACGGTTAGGATGCCAGATTTCTTTCTTAGAGTTTAGTTGGCACAGGTATGAATTGTATGGCTGTAGTTTGTTAGAAAACTACCCTGCCTAGCACAGAGAGCCTCTGATTAATTAGGGCCTTTCCATCCTAATATGCTGCACGTCGTTAATATTCAAGTTTTTGCTTTTTGTTTCACAAGACAGTATCATAGGAAAGCACTGAGAATATGGTGGATGATATATTGTAGGCTTCATTATTGCAACTTTTTGGACAGTTATGAAGCTTCTGATTCAGAAGATTCATTCTTTCTCTCTCTCTCTCTCATATTTTACATCTCGTGTATCCACAATAATATACTTCCTTCAAATTGCAAAATCAGTTACTGCTTATTAATAAGGGTATTAATTTTTGTCTCGTTTGTTTTTTTTGCAGTAATTATATCCTAATGGAATTTATTAAATTATGATCTCTTTAAATTACACTTATTAGAAATTTACATTTGCGTCTTAGCAAGTTGATTATTTAGTTTCACTTCCAAAGAGTGGGTGAGGTTATATGCTCTGGTTTTGAAAAAATTCTAGTAGCTCAGTTCATAAACGTTGAATAGCTCCAGTCTGAATGAGAGGGTGTCGCGCTGTCTTCAGAGATGCATGTTGCTGCCTACAGAGAATTTCCATTTCTGGGAGAGGTCATGCAGCCTCTGGCATGTGGCACTTAGAAGTCTCTGCATGACAGAATCACTGCTAGGAAACGCTGCCTGTAGCCCTCTAGTTCTAGCTGATTCCCTGAAGCATTGAGAAGCACTGTTCTAAAATCACCCCTTTTTTTTTTAATTTGCCGTTACTTGCTGTGACTACAGTGACTTCAGTTTACAATAATTAGGATACTCGTCAAGGAACCAGGTTACTCGAAGTACATGTTCAAGGAATGGTGTTGCGGACGGTTAGTTTTACAATTTGGACATTCTTATTCCTAAGTAACGTTCTTGGGCTGAATTTCTTAGACAAGCTAGGCTTTTAGATATCTATTTCTGATTGTTGCTTTAAATGGATTACCATGTTAAAAGAAATGCAACTCCATCCCACCCATGTCTTAAGGTTTCTCACAGTATAGTAATATCTGACGCATCAGTGCTGAACATAGCCACTCCTTCTAGTCAATGATATGCAAGTTTCAGGTCTGCTGCTGCTGCAAATTATTTGTCTGGTGACTCTAGCAGACATTATACTACTTAGACAAGTGGAAACTGAACTGAATGTCCTGCCTTCCTCAAACTCCTACATGTTTTGAAAAAAAGAAGCTAACATATGGATTTAAAACATATGGAGTTAAAAGACACTTCCAACGTGTTATATATGGTAGGTAGCACTAGTAGTAAGTTTCATAGTTGGTAGGGTTGGAAGGGACCTGAGCAGATCATCAAGTCTGATTTAGTACTTCCATTATTGTAACAATCAGAAGCCGTAATTAGGACCAGGTCTTTATAGATTTATATAAATGTCAAGTGAAATAGCAAAAAGTAGTATTGGCAGTGAAGAGCTTATGTTCTGCTTGAAGGCAAACTGCATCAGGTGGGTATTAAGGACAAATGGAAAGATTGGAAGAAGGACTCGGAGGCATCAGTACGTCAGAGCTTGTACAGGCCCGGCTGGCTTGACTGAAGTTTGTAAGAAGGAAAAGAAATATGCACGGTATAACTATATAGTCTCTGGTGTTTTTAATGTTAATGTGCATTCAAAATTCCTGACCTGTTGCTAGATTCATATACAATTAAAACTGAATAAATTTATCAGAAGATTTTATTTCTGATACAAAACAGATTTACTAGCACCTCTACCATATGATCTTGTCAGCGTACAGTGGCATATAAAATTAGAAGCAGAGTGCTATTATCACACGCTTGCGATAGTCTTACATAGAACCAAATATTTTTGTTGGCAGGTAAGAGCAGAAAGAATATCATGTGTTAGAGTAGCAAGAGCTTAACAGATGTTACAGTGAACTAAATTTTCAAATCCTTTTACATTAAAAAATGGCTAGAGTTTGTAGAAGTTCTGAGACTATTGGGTTACGTTTCCTGTTGCAGCGCAAAGCCAGCCATTGTACTATAGTTTTAACAGATGTGCTATTCCCTTCTTAATGGATGGGAGTAAAATGTTGTTTCTGTTGCAGAGTTATAAATTATACCTCGCAAAGCACGAGATGTCACTCTCAACCTCAGCTAACCATAGC